CGTTTCCAGATAAGAAAACACGGCGGTTTGTAAGGCACTGCCCCAACATTTGTTCAAGTTGATCCAGTCGGCATTGCGAAAAATTGCTTCCAGGTACACCGCCGCGTTTGCTTTGTTGTTGGCCAGGCAGCGGCGTTGTTTGTTGGCGGTGTTGGCCATCTCCCACCGCCGCTCGAAATCCACATAGCAGTACGGAGTGAAGATCCACGGCAGCTGACAGCCGTCCATATTTCGCAGCCCTTGAATCACCGACGGAAACGTACTCGCTTCGTCTTGAATACCGTTTCCGTACAAATAGGAGCTCTCCACCACACCAGATGTGCCATTGTATCGCACAAAGGTTTGGCCATCCTGCGGTTGGTCAAATTGTATGGCGGCGCCAGACTCGCGTTGCGTTTGGAGTCTGGCATTGAACCAGTTGCACACGAACGGCTGCGTTCCAGAGGTGTTGAAGCCTTCCCACCAGAAATCGTTGGACATTGTGGACTGCGTCAAGCCCAAAAACGTATAACTTGCCACGACTGTTGCCACGAGGTAGCCCAGCGCTGCCAACGCACTCAAGCGTAACCACTTGACTGGATTGGCGTGTGTTTTTGGCTCGTCCTGGCGATCGACGGCACACTTGGGTTTGAAATCAGCATGAGCAAACTCGAATTCATGTGGATTCGAGGCTGTGTTTTCCATGGGAATGACTCCCCACAGCTTCAGATCGAACAAGGTCTGGAGCAGCGGGAACATGCCAGACATGACACACGACACCTTGTCCAGACGCACGGTCGTGCTTGCGTGGCCACTGATCAAGTAGGCTTCGGTGGCGGCCGGAATGAGCAAGTGGTGCACCTTTCGACTGCTTTGCAAGCGCGACGACGTGAACGAGTACAAGACAGACAAGAGCAACGACGCCACCAAACACGAGCCATGGACAATGCACAGAGCGAGCAAGCGGTCGGGGCTGCCAATCGAGACACTGCCGCCAGTGCAAGCGGCGCGGGTCGCGGACGGCAAGGTGCAATTTTGCTGGATCATGGCGACGGGCGCACAGGGATTAGTGAATTCCCAAATTGCAATGATAAGCCAGGAAGCAATGCTGCTTAGTGGAGAGTACATCGTCGCATATCGACCAGTGAAGGGAAGCAAAACGTCCGTGATGGCGTACGAGACCCAGTTGGTCTCGCCGGCCAAAAGCAGGACGTCGAGCCAGGGCCGTGGCTCCAGGCGAAGTTGGGCAAACCCCCCAGGGGAAACAAAGTTGACATTGGCTGTGCTGAGAATGACCATGGCTGTCATGCCTCGAATGAGTAGAGATGGGCGGCCGATCCAGACGGACCCGACCACTCGGTTGAACACAAAGAGATTCGTGCCAGGAACGTCAAACTTGATCCACGTCCCCAACATGAGCATGAACGCAGCCACTGCCACCAACGCTGTGGTAATGTACACGATGATGTACCAAACGTAGTAGCAGGCGTTTTGCGGCAATTCGAGAGGGTTCGCCGGTAATCTGATGTACGCTTGAAAAGGCGACAAAGTCGAGTAGCTGCCAAAGTCGCCTTCGAACGTATACACTTCCCGTCGACCTTGAACCCAGTCATGCACGGCAACCCAGCCAAACACTGACCATGGATCATTCGGAGTTGTGGGGACCATGGGCTGCACCAAGAGCACGTCGGATCCGTTCTTGGTCGCGAATTGAATGAAGGTCAAGTTTAGTTTGGCCATGGCATCACCCAGTGCTGGAGGAACACTCGGGTGAGCTTGCTGTTGCTGGAGGCGGTGGTGGATCGAGGTGGCTGACTGCAACGTCAAAGTGCACAGCGCGCTTGTCGTAGGGCACAGGCTACAGGTAGCATACACATCGAACGATGGCACGACAGTCAGAGCAAACAGCGTCGAGAGCTTGGACAGTGTCACGGTGTTGGGGATTTGGCTCCCGCACGTATCTTCAAACGAAAACGACTGGACTGGAGCGGTTTGCGCAGTGCCAAAGATGCAAAATGGATTCCCGCCAAAGAAGAGCATGTTGTTGGGCGACGTTGTCCACGAGAATGGAATCGGGTCAACGGCAGGTTCTCGCTGGCTGTCGTACATCGCGGCCACGTCAGTGTTTTGAAGCATTGGGATCGCGTAGTTGTGGAAGTCGAGAGCACACCCGACAAGAGCCGACGGCGGATGAACGTATCGCATGTCAATCGATCCAAACGGACCGATCGAACTGCGGACTAAATTGATGGTTGGCGTGCGCCGAGGACCAACCATGATATACACATCCCAATCGAATGGCATGCGATCGATGCTGTTGGGCAGACCTCGTATGACGCTGCAGTAAAAGTACGCGCACGCGTACATGTTGTTGTATACGCCAAAGTTTGCTTTCGCCGTCGTCCACCCACTCGCCCCTCGGTTAAACTTTGGAATGTTCGTCACTTTGATGCTGTACGACAGGCCCATCGCGTTAGTGATGGCAATGGTTTCGTCCAACCCGATCTGGTTCGCATTGTACGGCTGCATTTTCCACATCGTGAACCCAGCCTGCTTCCACGCGGCGACTTCGTCGGCGACCGGCAACCATGTCCATGACTCGAGCACGGCCAACCAGGCGATTCCCGCCGCCGATGCCCGCAGAGGGCCAAATATCGTGGCATTCATGTCGCGGAACGAGTTGGATTGCATGACCTCGGAGTACAACGATTGGCGAAACAGTGTATCCATGTACATGACCGCATTCGTCGCTTCGGACGCTTCACACCGTTCTTGGCGACGCGCTGTGATGGCCATCCCGAACTTACGACCGAAATCCAACCAGCAATACGGCGTGGGAACGGCCAGCGCTGTGTCCAACGGCGACGACCGAATTAACGCGACGGCTTTCTCAAACGGCAGACTGCTGTAAACCGTCGCACGGGCGGATGTCGGGTTCATGTCGATGAACGTGCTGGACGAAGCGTACGACTTGGGCATGGCCACGCTCGAGTTGAATAAGAGGGGACCTTGCTTCGTCAGGTGGAGCTTCGAGTTGTATACGTCGGCGACGAACGTTTGGACCCCGGTCGAGTTGAACCCAGCCCAATAGTAGTCGTTCGCGGCGCTCCGCTGCATCGTGTAAATGTACCGCACGTTGAAACACAACGTGAGAATTAAGTAGACAAACCCGAAGGCCGACGACAGGCGACGCACCAGCGAGGTATGGGGCTTGGACAGAGTAGGTCCGTCGCCAGTTGGCACGACCCTCGTTTCCATGCTCAATCACGGTTGACGTGAATCGGAAAATTAAGTCGCCAAGGGCCCTCGAAACGGTTTACCCGTTGGAATTTTGCGGGCGGGGGCTCGGATGGGCCAAGTGTCTGTGCCCCACCCATCTCCGGTGCGCCGTGGCGTGTTGTGGACAAGAGTACCAGGGGGCGGCCGGGGGCATTTGGCTAGTGTTGGGGGGGATTGAGCCAGAGGTCGAAACACTTTACCAACCGTGTACAAGAGCAACCATCTTGTTCACGAATCGGTCGCCGGTCGTCGCCCACATTAGCTGCTTCGTTCCCGACTCTTTCTTTCTCACAGCCGTCCGAACGAAAAGGAGTCCAGGGAACGACAGGTGCATGGTGTTCACACCTTCCACATGCTGCATCCATGGCCTCCGCCACAAGCCGTGGTATCCGCCCGAATGCATCTTGTCCACGACAAAGGGTGTCGCAGGCTCGAGGCATCTACACACGGCTTGACGTCGACTTTGTGACTCATGGCCAATTTGATGTGCTCTTGCTCGCGAAGCGTCCGGTGGCCATTGTTGCAGGCGATCGCGTTGCGTTGGAGGTGCGACTCACGTGACAAACTGATCGATAGATCGCTCCGAAGGGGCGGCTTGCATGGACTTCACCCCCCCCCTAGATTCCACGCCAGGTGCGACGCCTTTTGACGACTGTATGACTGATGCTTGAGCTATTCGTGACAGCGCATTCTGTTTCGTCTTCTTCTTGGCCGCAGTGGTTGCCGCGACGGCATTGTGGATCATTCTGTCAACGCTAGGTGACCGCAGTAGACCTCGTCGTAACCTGTCGCCGCCGTTTCCACGAGGGTCTTGATCGTGAAAGCAAAATTGAATCCACGGATTCACAGAGTTGCATGTTTAGGCACGGATTTCGTTTCAAGAGATCGCGACGAGAGTGTACCTGGCAGCCAGGCAGGGGCAACGAGCATGCGACTGCAAATGTTTCGGTGATGTCTACTTGCTTGGACCGAGCAAGAGGAAGCACTCGTCCAAACGGCATAACGCTCGTCTCCATCGCTAGTCGGGCTTGTTCAAGCCCAAAAGACAACGATGGCTAGGTCATACAATAGGAGGGGGCGAGATCCCCAGCGACCCCATGGGGCGGCTGTGTGGTTTTACACTCCGAAAGTAAGCGAATCTCGTGTGGATTCCACGAAAGGACGGCTCGACAAGCGTCCAAGGCAACCAACATGAAGAAAATTTAGTTCGACTACCAGCATGAGCACCGTCCCAACAACCCATCAACAAATTCTCTCGCGAGTTGGCCGCTGGATACGGCGTCCTGGACACCAACGATGCCATGGTTGGTTTCAAATCCAGCCATGGCACTGCTTCTCACTAAAAGCACCGAGGAGGGGGAGGGGTGAAAGACAACGGTACGTTGATCGTTCTGTTCGAGTCGGTCCTTCCTGCGAAACTTCGGGTCTAGGCTGCGCCATGACTGCGAAACGTTTACGCTGAGGTAGACCCCTCGACCTTTCCAACATCGACGAGACAACTGGGGAGATGTAAAATGACATGTGCATAGGTATAAACGGCCCAAGAGTCGACATTGCTACAGCAGAAACGGTGCCTGGCGCATGCCACGTGACTAGGCCATGTCGCGGTGGCAATTCCACTGGGTAGCCTCGACATCATGGCCAAACACACCGACACCAACATGGAGGATTCATTTTCGTGTTGGTGATGAGGACATTTAAAGCACTTTGCAAGAGTTGTCGCTGCCGACCTCTCGACGAAATCATTCAAAAAGTGGAATCGCATGCAGCGCGGTCGGGTGCATGTGTTCATCGCGTTGGCGCTTGCGGACGGTGGCGACGTCGACGGAATAGATGCGCCACATTTTGATGTCGAGCATGTATATGCAGTGTTGGTGCTCGACGGCGACGATCCCTGCTATCACTGCTGACGCTCGATCGAGGTAGTACACGTTCGCGTGAATCCAGTCGGCGCGATGGAAGAGGTGGTTGGCGGCCGAGTACAAATACAGCGATGGCGTGATGCCCGTGTCGACCGACGGACGCACGACGCGTTCCACGGCGTAGCACACAATCGTGGCGCCGCACGCGACGGCAATCAAGCTCATGAATCGAATGTACGAACCGACTTGGACGACGCCGGCATGGCACACGACTTGCAAGTCGACTACGATCACCTCGCACACCCGGTCCAACGTGACTGTGTGCGTCGTCGGTTGCACAAACGTCCAAATTCCAGACACAACCCACGCGAGCATGCTGCTCTTGGATGCGTACTGCGCCGTGTACGACGTCGTTACGATCGACAGCGTGTCGTTGATGATGTAGACAAGCCATGTGAGTTCTCCAGCAGCCATGAACGTCATGCCCCAAAACTCGGGGGGCTCGGCAAATATCGACGCACACCCCACGGCGCGGTCCACAATCAAATTGGACGTCGAGAGAAGGGCGATCGCGGCCAGGCCCCGTAACAACGCCAAGGGACGGCCGACCCAGACGACGCCAGCGACGCGATTGAAAAGCAGCATGTTGTACCCCTCGATGTTGCCCCGACTTGACACGATCACCATGCACACGGCGCATGCGACGCAGCACAGCACGAACGACACGTACTGAACGAGGCACCGAATGTAGAACGAAGCGTTGGCAGGAATCTCCATCGCATTCACGTGTCCACGGATCTGAGGGGTGTAGCCCGAGAGAAGCACAGTTGGTCGGGACGGCGGCATGGCATCCCCTTGGAACGCCACGACTTCCCGGGTGCCTTGGACCCAGTCCAGTAGATATAACCACCCGTAAAACTGGTAGTCGCGATCGGTGGCGTTCATAATGGTGGTCGTGGCTACATGGATCGCTCCGTCGATGCCTTGCACAAACTGCGACAACTGAACGGTGCCAACGACGGGCTGGGCCGCCGACGCAAGGCCATGGATCGTCGTCCGCTGCTCCGACGTTAAATGGCTTTGAAGAAACGTGCACGTGTGATTTAGCATGTCCAGACACTGCCGGCGGCTGACCACTTCCCTCGAGCACACTGCCGTCACATCGTTGGCGGTGGTGGCGTTGGGTGGCATTTGCATGGCCCATGCTGCCAGCGTTGTGTACGGCTGGGTGTAGATCCGATCGACCGTTTGGTATGGGCACGCGCCTTCCATGGTGAACATCGAGTACATGGAATCAAACGGCTGGGCGACCACAACGTCGCACAAAATGTTGCCTGCCACGATGACTACGTCGTCCCAAGCGGTCGGAAGCGCGTCGTAGCCGGTCCGTTGAGGCGCTGCAGCGTAGTCTTGTTGCGCCGCCACACTTGTCGTCAAGACTTTGCGCAAAATGCCCATCGTGGCTTGGACGGCAGTGCGCAGTTGGTCTGGAACAGGAATCCGCTTCATGTCGATCGATCCAAACGGGCCAAACATAGATTCGATCGCCACGAAGCCACGGCCGAGGACGTGCAACGACGCGTTGCCGAGGTACACGCTGCGCAACGACATGTTGGCGTACGCGAATGCACTGCTCTGTCGAATCAGCGACAGCCCGCCGACGCCGGACGTGTTGGATGCGACGGCCCATAGATCACAGGCGAGGCCCCAGTACATCTTGAACGTAGTCTCGACTCCCAGCTGAAACGATCCATTCATGTGCTTGAGCGTGAGTGGATACAAGATCCCGACAGCGTTCTGGACCGAGAACGACTCGACGGCGCCGAGGGCTTTGAAGTTTTGCCACTGGGGCAAGTAATGCTCGATGCCGTGATCATGCCAGACCTGGACTTCGCCCCCGACCGATGCCGCATTGCGCTGCACCGTCGCGATCCACCGCTGGCCGGCGTCGAACGTTCGCAAATACGCAAACAGACCGGTTTCCAGCGCTGCGCCCCAACACCGCGTCAAGTCGTTCCAATTCGCGTTGCGCAACACGGCGGCCATGTACACAGCGCCATTGTCCACGTCGTTTTGTTGGCATCGCAATTGCCGCGCGGCAGTCACCGCCATCTCCCACGACCGCTCGAAATCGACATAACAGTACGGGGAAAATATCCACGGCACCGCACAGCCATCCATGCGTCGCAGACCTTGAACGACGCTGGCCAAGTTGGCGCCGACGTGATGCTGAAGCGCCGATGCATACAGCGGTGGCACGGACAGCGTCGTATCGGTCGTGTTGTACGTGTTGATGGGGTCGCCGTGCGTCGGAGACGTCAGCGTAAACGGCATCGGACCCGACCCCGCAACGTATTGAAGGTGCACGTTGTACCAGTTGGACATGAACATGAGGGTCCCCGTCGCGTTGAACGACGACCACAGGAAATCGTTTGAAAACGAGTTCTTGGACAACGTGAGGTAGCTCAAGCTGCCCATGACCGTCACAATCACGTAAGTGAAGCCGACGAAAGAACGTAGTCGCAGCCGCGCGAACCTTGACGTGGCCTCGACATCGTTCGTGCCGAAAGGCCGCCGAAGGGACGCCATCGTGGTCGCTTGCAACGGTGGCACTTGAAAGGTGGTCGGGGCAAAGGTGTACACGCCGCGGTGGAAGGCGGACGGGTGGTAGAAAAGCCACAGCTTGACATCAAACAAGTGTGTGCCAAGAGGAAGCATCCCTGCCATGACGCACCCGACACCGTCGAGCTCCCACGTCGCGGAAGTTGCGTGGGTGGTGGCGTTTTCCAGGTGCACGACGGCCACCGCCGGCAAGATCAAGTTGGGGATCGAATTCACGGATGGCGGCGTGCTGGCCAAGACCTGAATTTTCGTGGACTGCCGGCGAGAAAGCCACAGCCCACTCAACACGTACAAGACAACGCAGCCGCCACATTGAAACACCAAACTCACGAGAAATCGATGAAATTTCCCCACGGAAACGGCACCTGTTTCGCACGCCATGTCGTAACTCAGCACACGAATCGTGCACTGTCGGTCGATCGTGATTGTGGCTTCCACGGGGAGCGCAACGTCCCCGACGACAAAGGCCAGCCATGTCAACAGCACGCTGGTCGGAGCCACGACTTTGCTCACGGCAGGAGATACGACAGGTAGCAGCACGTCGCTCAGAACAAATGTGGTCCACGTGGCTTCGCCAGCAAGAATTCCAGTGTACAGCAGCGATCGTGGGGCGCGTTCAAAGCTGGTCAGCGTCGCTCGTGTCGTGAATTCGAGCGATGCCGTGCTAAGGATCATGACGGCCGTGAGGCCGCGCAAGACAAGAATGGGGCGCCCGATCCAGATCGACCCAACCACCCGACTAAACTGAAACAAGTTGACGTCGGTCGGTCGGACGTAGCCTTCTCGCGACGACATTCCACGGGCAACAAAGACAAGCATCGCCACCATGGCCATCAACGCTGTCGAGTACATCGTGAGCAGCCACACGTACCAGCACGCTTGTTGAGGCAGCTCGAGCGCGTTGGCAGCGAGAGGCAGCGCGTCGTGCCGCGGCGACATCATGGTGTACGTGCCTTCGTCGCCTTGGAGCGAAAACACTTCGCGGTGGCCAGTGAGCCAGTCGTAGATGGCGACCCACCCAAACAGCGACCACGGATCAGCCTTGGCAATCAAGGGCTGCTCGAGCCACACCAGCGTCGACGTGTTGGGAATGCTGGCCATTTGAACGAGCGTCAAGTTGAGTGCCGTCACAGCATTCCACTGCCGCGCTGTCATGCTTGGGCCGACGTACCCCTCGAACAGCGTCTGTGTGGCGTTGACGAAGCTCTCACAGCGCTGTGTGGACGAGGTGCTGAGATTGCACGCGCCCAACACGGTGGTCCTTTCGGACGGCCCTGCCGCTTGCAGCGCAAACAAAACACTGTTGAGTTGGAGCGTCGATTCGAGCGGCTTCTGGACTTGGCACACGTCGTAAAATCCAAACGAGTCCTGGATGAACGGCCGGGGTTCATAGAATTGGCACAGGGGGTTGCCGCCTGTGTAGAGCAAGCCCCGCCAGGACCACGGGATGGGCCGAACGACTTCGAAAAGTGTGGAGCTGCTGTTTTCAACCACGCCGTGTTGCCGCACGTGGTGAAACAGCGTCGTTTGGAACGCTTCAAAGTACGCGACGAGGTCAGGGGGCAGCGGCACCATGAACAAGTCCATCGAACCGAACGGCCCTACGTGCGTGCGTACGAGATCGATGTTGGGTGTGCGCGAAGGCCCCATCATGACGTCGACGTCGTACGAGTATCCCATGTTGTTGAGCGAGTTGGGAGCCGCCCGCACCAAGCTGCACCCGCCGTGATAGCACAAATTGAAGTCGTTCCATGGCCCGATGGACGCTATTGCGGTTGTCCATTGCGATAGCCCACGGCCGAGGAACTCGGCGTGGTTGATCTTGACCTGCTGGACCATATTCATCGCATTCACGATCGTGACTGTGTCTTGCATGCCGTGTTGGTACAAGTTTTGCGCCTGGCACACGTACGTCGTGACCCCGTGGGCCTGCCAAAACGCAACTTCCAACTCGATCGAGCCCCACTTGAACTGGTGCAAGTCGTCGAGCCATTGGAGTCCCACGGGCCACTGGCTCACTGCGTCCAGCACAGACACTTGGATGGCTGACGCGAGTTTGGATGCATTGACGCCGCCCGGGATGTTGCGCAGCGACGGTTCCAAGTACACGGCGCCGTTGGCGCGGAAATGTTCGTGGCATCGCATCTGGCGCTTCTCCGTATGGGCCATCTCGAATGTGCGGTTCAAGTCGACCCAACAATACTGCGTAAATGCAATGAGGCTGTCGACGGTGGTCGCGCGGCGCAACGACTCGATCACTCGATGCAGGGGCTGCGGCGACAGGACCAACTGCCGCGGGCTCGCGGGGTTGGTGTCCATGTAAACAGAGCCTTGGTACGTTTTTTGCACTGCGACGCCGCTCAAGAGCACATCCCATGCCGTGCCAAACACAACGGCCGAGTTGAATGCGTCTCCGACAAACGTTTGGCTCGTCAAGTTGAAGTCGCTCCAGAGGTAATCGTTGGTCAAGTTGCATGCGACCAAACTCAGGTACACAACACTGCATGCCGACGACAACACTAAGTACACCCATGGCAGGACGAGGATCGCTGCAGTCGAGCGCCATCGCGGCGGCAACATGGCCACTGGCAACGTGCCCTTGTCGACTTGCGACCCCCGCCGGACCACATCACCAGGTACGTCCATCTTGGCTGTCGATGCCACCACCGACGGGTGTGTAACTGAACGACGGCGTAACTCCTAACCGTGCGAGCCGCCGCCAAGGCGCAAATTTTGGTCATGCGCCGGTGCGGAACCAGCGAGGATGGGCGACCCCTTTGCCCGCAGAGCGTCGAGAGGGGTGCAGGGGCAGCTGCGGGGTCCCCCGTCGAGTGTACGAGTGTACGACCGTCGAATGATGGAATGAGGTCGCAGCGCACGACCCTGATAGCGACCGTGAGACTGACCAAGCGTGTGGGCATGAGCTCGTGCCAGCCGTGGAAACCCCCAGGCCATGACACAGTTCCGTCGGGACATACGTACGGGCGAGCTTGGTTCTCGCCAGTTTGCAGGAGGCAGTAGTCGTTCGCGAGGGGCATTCAACACGTTGACGGGTGTCCGCCGCGCGTTTTGCCCGACCGAACGAGTGCTGCGAGGAGCTTGCGTTGCCGTCAGCTTCGGCAATTTTGCCTGCGCTGACGCGACCGGATCAAAGGCAACGACACAGCCATGTCCTTGCCATTTGCTTGGAGCGCATGCTTCTCGTGCACGCGTTGAACTTGGAGTCCCCACAGTCAAGGTGTCGCAACGGTTCAGGGAGTCCACCGATCGATCGATCAGCACCACATCCGCATCGACATGCAAATCGAGGATGGCATCGTTGTCGTCGCCTGGAACGCTGTGGCAAGTGCTCACGTCGTGAGGCTAGCCCCTCGTGGTGGTGGATAGTTTGGGGGGTTCGGTGATGGTTAGCGGCGACGAGGGGGGGAGTTCTGACTCGGCAGAAGAAGGCGAGCACTTCCACAGCCCCGAGCGAGATGTGGGGCAGAGTTTTGGTCACGGGAGGTTGAGAACGTCGAGTCATGGCAGGGTGCTTGCAAGGGGGTGCTTTGTCGCCGCTGGTGCCATGTCCAAAAACGAACATGCGGGGGATGACGAAGTCGGGTTTCTCGTGGTTTCAGTCGGCTTTGTGGCGGTGCACATCGCCCAACTTATCGTACAACTGGTTTTGTTGGAGCCGTTCAGGTCGGGCACCACGACCGACGCGTTGGTCCATGGCGGTGATTCAAGCATGGGCTGAAGCAGCGCCCACAATATCTCATCGGCAGGCATGCCACGATGCCTTGGACACAATTCAAAACGATCCGCGGCGACAGCACGATGTGCGGGAAAGCTCCCGCATCGTTTGAAACATTGCTGAACCTGATGTGCCGACGAACCAACCGTCGGGACACAGTTGGACGTTCATGCGGGCGAGAACGTCCAAGAAGGGTTCGGGCACGCCGTGTGCACTTGCTTCTTCCACACGCGTGTGCTCACACCTGCAGCCACGTAAGCTGTGCTCGTCTGCCCCCGTCCATAGCCCCCTCATCCGGCTGGCTCTAGTCCGACGGCCTGGTGGCTGCGATGGCAAGGCTGGGATGTGCGGTCGGCATCGACATGCGTCCCATGTGCCTTGAATGTGCAACCACATGGGCGGGCCAGCTAGTGATCGACACTGTAGTTGTGTCGAAAGAGCTTGAGTTACCTGTAAGGCGGCGCGTGAACGAGTCGAGACCAAGCGGTGCCCCACCTGCTTTCCTCGACTCTTCCTTGCGTTGTAGGATGTCTTTTGTCTCGGTCGCCTCTGGCACGAGGGACGTCGGCACCTTGGGGCCCCCTGGTCAAAGGATGTATCGGGTGCAAGTTCTCAGTCGAGCTGCAGCTGCCAACGGCAACGGGGGAGGGAGGGCTCACCAGCAAGCGCGGACGCTACAGCCACTCTTCGGGTGAATTCCTTCTCTCGGGGCGACAGGACCACGTTGGCAGCGCGCCAATGCGTCGCTGGTTGAGATCACAATGTCTTGACGTGTTGCATAGAGTCCCCGCGATCGCGCTGGGAACGGTTCCACAGATCAGGGCATACACCCACATGGCACCACCCCGTAGCGTCCGTGAGATCGTGCACCGTCGTCGTAGAGAGGACCAAGTAGCATGGCCAGTTGGGTCCACGTCCTCAGGTTGTTCGTTGGGATCTGCGAGGGGGGGAGGCAGCGGTCGGTGGGGGTGGCCCGCCCGATTCTGTCTTGCCCAAGACTATCCATGCAAGGGAAAGGAGTAGTCAGCAACCTGTCGACCACGGGTTCGATGGCCGTCGAGACCGATCTTGGCCTCGCCTGCGTCAACGACAGATTCGATTACAGGCGCCAAGAGACATCACAACGTGGTCGTGCGGCTGACGTGATGCAAACGTCGATCTTATGCGGTGGCCATGGACCGCGCGATCTTTTGTGAAACAGGCCAGGAGAGCCGGAGGCGCTGCCGTCGCCGAACTGCACGCCCATCATGCGCAGCTGTTCTTGTTGATGTCGGGGGGCCACGGCCGCCTCAAGTTGGTTCGAGGGATCGTTCAACCTGGACGCCACTCGTGCCCAGTCTCTGGTTTTCGCCCGTGATCCAACAATTTGGGCACAGATCGCCTTTCGCCCCTGCCTGAACGCGGAACACGACGCCCACCAGCTTCATCGCTGCCGCTGGGGGGTGATGTGGGCTGCCACCTGATAATGATCCCGCCTCATGGCGACGAACCTTCCGGCAAAGTAGCTGGAGGGGTTGCCCCGGTAGTGGGACAGCAGAGTAGGACATTCCTCGAGTCCATTCGAAGTGGACGCCTGGCCCCCGAGAAGTGCTGGTTTCGGCAGTCCGTGCGGTTGCTGTAGGGGACGATAGCCTCGCGGGCTGTGTGGCTAGAAGCATCCGCGGGAAAAGGCCACCGAGGCACGTGAGTTCGTGTCTCTGTCGTGGCCTTTTGAGATCGGGAGCCTCGTTGGCCTGGCTACGGTCGTGATGTGGTTGCATGCCGCGCACATCTTCGTCGCCTTTGTGAACATCAACATCAACTTGGTGTTTTTCTGAAGCAATGCATGAAGTCCAGCCTGCCCGAGGCATCAGTAGCACTACTATGACAGCGCGCATCGTGGCGCCCATGGGGCTTTCGTCCGGCCCTTTCATCGCGCGGCTCCGAGCACGTACTATGAACGTGAACCCACCGTGACGGATTTGTGCATCCCATGACGTGGATGGAGCATGTCTGCCGAGATGCCACGTACGATCAGAACTGACCCGAGTGGCCTTTCCAAGTCACCCACCACTTTGGAGTCGTGGCCTGTCTGTCACAACTCGATTTTCGATCACGACGTGAAATGAATGGCCATCACAGCGGCGCCTATGCCTGGCCGGGTGCGCCATGGCTGGACGAACATGCCTGGATGAATACCCTGGCGACGTCGCCAGCGCCCTCCTGGTCCTCCGATGACAGCGCGATGCCCATGGCCATGTATAGTGACATCTCGTCGCCCATGCAAACGTACCCAGACCCCACGCCCGTGCCGTGGATGTCTCCGGACGCCAACCATACCATTGCGACCCCGCCACCAGCCCAAAAATGCGGCTACCGCACCGGCAAATGCTTCAACCTACGCGTGCTCAAGCGCAATGGCAAGTACCATAAATTGTGCGACGAGCACCGTGAACGCGCCAACTGGAACCAAAAGAAACTCGACCACAAGAAGCGCCTGCGCCGCGGCTCGAACGCCCTCTTCTCGTGCAGCGACTCAACCCACCACGCGATCGACGACTGCCGTCGCAACTCGCCCAGGTCGCCCACGACATTTGCATTGGACTTGGACGACCCGCTCGTGTTTGGATTCGACGAAGCGCAGTTCTTTTGCGAACTCATGGCGTCCCATCCCCTCCCGCCGACGGGAGAGCCACACAACCCAATGGCCGAGGACACCGAGGAAAATGACCAAGGCGGGACGACACTATGTCAACCCTTTCCTCGGGCCGTCGACTGCGTTGGCAGCATCGCAGACGCTGCGCTGCCGTCGTCAGGGGAAGCTCTCGCCCACGACGAAGTCTTTCATTTTGTCCAGGCGCTGCTTGTCTAGTTGGTGAAAGTCATGTGTGTGTGCGCGCGTGTTGTCCAGGGTAGTGTAACTTAGATGTAACTTATGAAGTCCATGCGGCCAACAACGTGTTGGAAGGGGTGGAAGGACGAGCGGGGAATGCCGACGGGACATCCTTCCGATCTCGGCGACGATGCGCCGTGAAGTCGCCCCGTGATGACAATTCTGAGCACGAGCGGCGTGGACGGCAGCCAGCCACGGTCGTGGGGAACTTTGACGTGTCGTTGCAGGGGCATGGACCTGCTCGAGTTCACAGTCGAGGACACTCGTCACGCCTATTCTTTACGACCGTCCATCTTTTTGTGAACGAAGCTCGACGGACGCACCTGGCTGGCACACGTAGTTGAACCGACGCGGCTTTGACTGTTACCCCTACCGATCGCGCCACGACGCTCTGGATAAAGGACTCGCGCGTGCACTCCATGTCGACCACCGGTTTCGCCATCTTCTCGAGCCGGAGAGTCATGCGTGTTGGATGCACGAAAAAGCGCAAGCTGCCTGTGGGTTGCTACAAAGCTCAACTTGAACATGTTTTTGCGGCGCGGAGGTTGTGTTCATGCAGTCGATCGTTTTGTAGAGCTGTCGATATCTCCTTCATCTCCCTTGGCACTGACGCCGTCCCGAGCCACCCCGAGCTGCCGCGCGTCACCCTCGCGCGGCGGCGACGCAACCACGAGAGAATCCGTGTAGTCAGTACAAGACCATCATTCCGTCCTGTGCACAAGTAGCTCAGTTCCTGTATTCTCCAACATGGCGTTTTCAAGCGCACGCTGCGTAAAAGCGTGCAACTGCGATTGTAGTCGGGGCCGCCTGGATACTTGGACGGTGGCAGTCGCGGCGGTGCCTCGCCGACAGCAGAGCAGCGTGCCGAGCGCCCGACATGGTGTCCTCGCGAAACAGACAGAGTGATGGTGGTGTCCTATCGAAACGGACGGACGAGGACGTACGAAATACTCACACCGTACAGGCCGTCGTACGTTCGAATGTACGATGGCCACAACAGTTCCGCGGTGGCGATGGAGAAGGCGGCGCTGTACGACGGCCTGGCCAAGCAACTGGCGGACCTCCACGCGTCGATCGCCCGGATGGAGGGAAACGTGGAACGCGCCATGGACGTGAGCAAGAAGACCCATCGAATGAGCCACGCGTTTCTCGGCGTGTACGTGCTGTTCCTGGTTGGAAGGATGGGCTTGACAAGGTCTCCGTCGTGCTCGTAGAGTTCAAAGTGGCGCTAAACCACACACAACGGCTCGACAAACGATGACCGTCGACGCTATTTACAACGAAGTGACGAAGAAGTACAAGAAGAGCGTGAGTTTTCAGCCCTAGGCGTGTGCGCGCTCCCACGCGGCCTCGCAACACGTCGCATCCACGTCCTCTGCCATGGATTCCCATTGCCGAGAGTATCGATCGAACGTGCAAAAGGCCGTCGCCACTACCGTGCTACGGACGCTCCGTCCAAGTTGTCCTGCGTTGTAGTTGTTTTCGTTCAGTGCTGTAGGCAACGATGGCCTCACAACTCGGCGGCTTCGTACGTAGTCGTCGTCGATGTGCCCTTGCTCCTACATAACCCAGCACGGCATGCTCATGTCGTTGACGTCCCGATGACTCGAATGAGTTGATTCTGATGCCCATCATTCGCCGACCAATGTTTGGGTGGATCCAGGTTGAAGCCAGGGCGCGTCTGGGTAGAGAGGCGGACGGGCCTTGAAGAAGCCACGAGGGGCCACCTTGTCAAAAAGTCCTACGATTGTAGCCCCGTTCGAATCTGTCACGATCACTCACTCTTGGGTGCGGCGACACTTTGCATGAACGGGCGGCGCACCACTGCACGAGTATGGCGATCGCCGACGATTCCTCCCCCCCTCCCGAGTCGCAACGCTGGCTTGGCAGGCACAAGGGCCAGGCAACGAGGGCGACAGTGCCTACCTTGTCGAGCCCCTTCGCGTCGTCGTGCGACGCGGGCAGGGAAAAACAACCTAGCGGGTGCATACACGGGCACCGGTGTGTCAAAGGACGTGTGAATTCGTCACCCATGCGACACGTGTGTCGGCAGCGCTCGGGACAACTGCGCGCCCGTGATGTTTGGCCAGCTCGGCGGGCGCGCACCACCAAGACCCGACTAGGACATGACAGTTGTTTCCGTGGTGGTGATGATGCTTTTGCTGCAAACAAGCTGGCGCGGTCACGTTTGATGCGAACTGCGTCGACGTTGCCCGCACGGCGCGACTGCGATGCCGAGGCAGCCGTCGAGAGCAGCATGCTGTGGCGGGTCTTCCGCGGCACGTCGTCGTGCATGTGTCCCCTCCTTAAACACGTTTGCATGTGACGACATTTCATTCAATGCTACGACGTCGCCAGCATCGCGGCGCCAACGTTGGTTTACGTGTGGTCGAGCGCCATGTAGAAATCGCCGGCGGGGTCGTCCTGCACACTCGAGTCGCGTTGTCGCACGATCGCCAACACCGCCAGGACAGACGCGACAATAACGCCGGCCGCGGCAAAACCAACCGACGTCCACTCGACCGATGCGATCGAGGCGCGGGCGAGGGCCGATAACATCGTCGTGGTTTTGGTCGTGTCATAGTACGCTTTGGCTTTTTGGCACCAGTGGTTGGGAGCAGCGAAGTCGGCGGCCGAGCATGTCCATGGGTGGATAGCTCCCCACGCAATCACAGGGGTCGCCACTTGGGTGCATTTGACGGTCCCGCCGACCGTCGAACACTGCGTCTTGGTAGGGGGTGCCGGGGACGTTCCAAGACTGGCCACGACTGCCTTGCACGCTGACTCGGACGCTTGCCACACGCATCCGTTGCCGTTCGTCGACAGGCACTGAATGTTGCCGGTGGGGGTGCGTCGAACGGGGGTAAAAATGCCACCGACGCACTCCCACGACCTCGGCGCCAGCGCCTTTCGCGACAGCTCGCACCAGTGGTTGGCAGTCCCGTAGCCAGGGTCGCCCCACTCGACTTGGTGCATCGCGCCACACGCAACGGGGTCGATCGATGCAGCGGGGGCGCGTGTGTCGACGAGGGCCTGGCAGTCTTCTGCACTCGATTGCCACAGGCAGTCGTGGTGGTTGGACGACATGCACTCGACTTCGCCGGTGGTCGGGTTGACGCGGACGGGTGTCGAGACGTTGGGGACGCATGTCCATGCGGTCGGCGCCGTCGGGCGGACGAGTGTGCGGTACGCCCGAGCACACCAATGGGTCGGGGAATCGTACCCAGTGACACCCCACTCCTTCAAGTGGTCCGTCCCGCACACGAGGGGATTCTCGGCCAACGGGTCGATTTGCTGGGCGTATTTGACGGCGACGCACTCTTCATGGTTGGTTTGCCATGCGCAGTCGTGGTGATTCGTGCTGAGGCACTCGACGTTGCCCGCCGTGTTGATTCGGATGGGGGAATTGATGCCCATGACGCAGAGCCAGGGGGAGGTCGTAGCGGCGCTGCCTCCCTGTTGAGGCGTTGCCAGCGCAATGGTCGCGACGACCGCCGCTGCGATCGCACTAGTGCGAGCCATGCCAAGTTGAAAAGTGAACCGGCGTCCTCGTGATACATCCATCGTGTCTCTGGCAGGAGAAACGGCGCGTTCATGTTCGACGTGGAAGATGTCAGAAGATCGAACAACACGATGGCGTCGCACGCCGTGCTCTAGAACGGCGCCGTCCAACGTCCTGAATACGCGCTGTGTGTGTGTGGGCGATCGTGGCGCTCGACCGAGCTCTCCTTTGGCAAAAGGGGACTACCCATGGCCGACCGACCAGCGCGTCGCTCGTTTGCAAACGCCATCTACATCACACGACGCTGGAATTCGAACATATCGCGCCTTTGGCATCGGCTTTCAATGGTCGAAACGGTAGTGCTGCGGTGGAGATATCAAGGCTTGACCAGGTCGACGTTTTAGCGCCGAAGCCGACGATGTTGTTGTCCACAGTGGGGCGACACTCCGTCCGTCGTACGGCGCGTCGCAACGGTAGAGTACTCGGCACTTGTTTAGTCGCGTTTGAAGGCGCTTCCTGGACGTGCTGCCTTTGCGCAGAGTTGGGCCATCGACCATCGAATCAAGAGACCGTAAAGCACGACGGAATGCCACACTAGACAAGTCGATCGATCAAGACATTGTGGACCGAGTCCATTCATGGCGCCGTTTGCGATTCACGGCATATGCCGGGCTCACAGTCGCACGTACGTAGGAATTGCAGGAGCGCCGACGCCGTGATGTCCATTTGCGTCGACGTAAAGCTCGACAACAAGTTGTTCACGATATGCAGCACGATCACTTGAAACAGGGACCCGGTGTGGAGGTACTGGAGCCCGTAAAAGAAGCCGATTTGAACGCCGAGGCACGTTTGAATCGCAACGTAGAGCACGGAAAACTTGGCATGCATCAAATTGACCAAGTGCGTGCATCCAAACACGATGCTGACGCACAACGCGGCTGCCTTTGGGTGGTTGGGAACTCTACAAGAACGAGATGACGACGGAATGGGACGAGAACCACTCGCACACCGATTCGAAAGCACGTGAAAGGCCACCCCTCGAAACACGAGCTCTTCTTTGATCGGAGACAGCACGAGAATCTCGAGAATGTGCGATCGCTGGAGCTCGTGGGTCGCGCTTGTGCCGTCGACGCTGTAATAGTTGCCCCAGCTCCAAATCCACTCGTTCGTGTGGCGCTGATAGCTCCAGACGGCAAGAAACCCCACGACTTGGTACACGATCCATGCAATCGCGAGCGACGACAACGAGAATGGATATAGCCCAAGCCTAGATGCATCGACGACGTGGGAACAACTAGGCTCGAGGTGGACGCTATGTACCGACGGATCCACGCTCGCAACGAAGGCTGGTGAAAGTTTGATGCGGACCGACGCAGGACGTAGAGGCACACAAACGTGGCATCCCACAAGCTTTCGCATACGCTGGATGTCGTCGAAGTAGACAGGACGACCTGGATGGCGGCGGCCGCGCAAGATCGACAAACTAGCGACAAGATCATAGCGAAGAATGTTTCACCCATGAATGCAATCAATTCGACCCACGCCACGGCAGCAGCCAGCAACGAGTCCTGCAGCTTTCTCCTAGCACCTGCAACGCTCGCTGAGTGGTGGGGGTCGACTTTGGTCGACCAAGTACTCTACCTTCACAGTGCACCAACGAGGACCCCTCCGTTGGAGCAATCAGAGCTATCAATCCATTCTCCAATACATCGACCGGTGGAAGCAGCGCATGTGCGTCGCCATGGGCCTCCGCCGCGCCAGCATGGTTGTCGGGTGCGTCAAGCTGCATCTGTAAGAGGTATTCACGATATCGGTGGTATTTTTCAGATAATTCGAAATCGCCGAAAAAGTATCGTCGAATATTGGCTAAATCCAAATATCCACAAAAGTGGCCCCTTCAACACCATAGTATCACAGTCCTCTCAGCACTAAAAATTATGCCACGATAGACTTTGAATATGTATTGATATACCTTGAGCTAAATTAAGTTCTGAAAACAGGTATCGTTGAAATGCAATAACAGCCTTCAAATTATGACAAGTGCGTAGAATCTCGATTGGCATTGTGTACTTGTATTTCCTCTCTTTCATAATTTAATAGGATTGCTGGACAAGAATCATTTTATAAAGGAATAAAATGCTGACCTCTTGAGCGATTCAACCAAACTTGGTTCGGCAACACGCGCCGAGGTCTTCGACAACATCGATGCGTACGTCAGGAAGGCGTGCCCGCACAGCCGAACGAAGAAGAGTGTCTGGACATTTTGAGACTGCTTGTCGCGATGGTATGGAAAATGGAGTGCAGGGTTTCTTCTCATCTAAAAAGTTCAATTCACACGAAATCGGTTCAAATCACAAATCTGGAAAAATGCGATTCCATAGGCTCAAATTTTGAAAGTATTGGTTCTGAAAGTAGAAGAGTTATTCCCAAAGAATGTTCGTCGAAGTCATAGCACAATTTAGTGTGCCAAACGAACAAGTCTTTATACTTCACACGTGTTGTTAATCTTACGCAGCGAGACCTCCATTTGATATGATGTCGAAGGTGTACGTGGTTCGACACCTTGCGGATGTAGTAGTTTTTACATCAAGGAAGCCCAAATAAAATATGATATTTTATGCTTTGAATTCTGTGAACGATTTTCGCGCTGAACAAACATCGTTAGAACTTCGCTCATGAATTGCATATTCACAACGTCGTACAAGAGCCATCGGGTGTTAGAACTAGCGATTTGACAGCTTCCATACGGCATTGTACGGAGCGGAGTCGCTTGTAGAATTGGCTCGGTGTCACTTGGTCAATCAAGTCGCGTAGAGAAAGAAGGTCCGTTCGGATCTTACGCATAGTTGCAACCAACATGATCAGTGCTTAATCGCTTGATAGATGTGGCGAAATGAACAATGACGAGGACCAAACTTGAGTACTGCTAAGATTAGAATCCTGCAACCGTTCTCTATGAATACATGCCAAGCAGCTCAACCGACACTTGAGAAGGCAGCCCTTCCTTGACGCATGAGCGTGCGAACCATCGGAGCTTACGGGGCCGCAGATCTCGAGGAGCTGAAGGCATTGCTACCTCGGTACATCAAAGTCCACAAGTCCGTTACAAAGTGCAATCATGAGCATCACGATGAGCCTGATGCCTGGCACAACCATGAAATGACACGTGAAGACACGAAATGTGCTTCTAGGTGCTGTCATGACGTCAACGTCAACGAGCAAGCTTTTCAGTATTGCCAAGCACAGTATCTTTTCCGACAGTGTCACTACTCTCGAGTTACAATTGTCACTCAAAACGGAGCGCACAGACATGAACGACCACTGACTCGACTCGATCACCGCGCCTAGCAAAGGTACTTGACAGATTTACTTATCTGCATATCCTCACTCCAGGCATAGGTGTTGCAGCTCATGAAATCCAGACTTCAGGACCGGATTGAAGAGAACCCAATGAGAAAACCTGCTGAGCTCTTTCGATTTATTGAAGCTGAGTGGAGGCAAGGTCAGTTTGGACGCATGGATGATACGCCATGTCCAACACCTGTTGAAGTCGCCAACGCATCCAAACGTTTGAGGGCGTCGATTCTGGGCCATGTGGATACAGACGGTGCGTTTTGTGCTATCTTGTTGAAGTTGCAGCAGTCAGAATTAGCGGCTGGAATGTGTTCGAAAGACCCCCTCGTATTTGGTGTGCCGATGAGAGAACACAGATATGCCCTTGGTGATGGTTCCGTGTGCTTGTTGTCTATTCAAACTCTGAAACTTCGTTAGGACTAACCAGCCGCTCGTTGCTGCAACGCTACTGTCGCGTTGTCACAGACAACCCTGGTATTCGCGTGGTCGTTCACATGGATACAACGTTCAACTTGAACATGCCTGGATATCCTGTTTTTGTCCTTGGATACTCTGACTTTGGAGGGTGCTTTCATGCCATTTGTATTGCCATCACTTCCCAGCGTACGGCTGACGACGTCTCTTGGCTGCTGAGTTCGCTCAAAACTGCCTTTCAAGTCTACTGCGCTCACCAGTTCGCTCCCCCGTTTGTAATGGGTGATGCCGATGTTGATCAATTCAATGGTGTGCAAGACCAATTTGGCGAATCAACGAAGTACATCATGTGCTTATTCCATGTGATGAAAAGGTAGAGCGTTTGAGATATCATACCACTCGGTCAATACCTTTCACACGACAATGCAGTGTAGAGATTATGCCGTCAACTACAAGTTGACATGGTCTGAATGGGACGATTATTCAAGGGATATCTACTTCTTACACACCACGCACGACCGTGTTCACCTCGACAGTGCTGCCCGCATTGTCGAAGCTAAGTGGAGAGAAAGGTCGCAGCGTGTGAGAAAGTTCATGCTGAAATTTTTCCTCCTGTGGATGCCCGCTCCGATTATGCCAGGTGCACCACCCAACGATACAGAAAACCGGTTTTGGAGGTGGCAAACGTTTCACACGGATCAAGGCGCTGCAACCACAATCAACCCCAATGAGCAATTCAACGCTGTTATCAAGAAGGTACTGCTACGTTCAATGCTATCTAACGGGCAACATGATATTAGGAACTTGAACATCAGCGCCTGAAGTTGGTCACTTGATTCAAGCTCTTACCCGCATACTGCATGAAGAGTCTGAGCGTGACAGTCAATCGTGGACGGAGCCACGCGTGACAAGACGGCTGTTGCAACACTACAACTTACAGAAGAAGAACGAATCATTCGAAGTGCAATCGAAACCCTCAAGATGATCCAGCAACTTGGACAGTACGCCATCACAACGCGGAAGCTGACATCGAGGGCAATCGACAACTGCAAGAGCCTCCTCGCACCAATCACTTGCTGTTGACATACCTCAACCGCAACGTGCACCTCTTGGAGCTGCTCGATCAACCTGATGGTGAGTAATCATTAAAGTCTGTTACCTGGAAAACTCAATGACTCATAGGTGGCTGGACAGTTGACATCGAACGCTGAAGGTGTAATTGCAGATTTTGGGTTCGTTTTGGAATTTGCGTGCATGTAATCGCTGTCGCCGATTCAACTGGGCGACTACTACCTAGTATGCCGAAGAAAGCCCGCAAGCTTGTCAATTGAAGCGTTCGAGGAGGTCATCGAGGCGGGCGTACACGACACGAGCGTGCACTGCTACGAGGTGTAGGTCGCCCAGTTGTTGGAATGCAGCAGCCATTTGATCAAGTCGCCGGGGATCCTGAGCAGGTTGAAGAAGAAGAGCGACCTCAAGCACGTCGAATTCAAAACAACATTTTCGCGGCTCCAGCAACTATAGTAGAAGAAGCTATTATACAATATTCGTAATTGTGAAGGAACTACACGATTCGTCTTAGGCTTAGTAGTTGGACAGTACTCGATACATCTATCAGCTTAATTGGAGGAGGCCTCGCTTGGCGAGTCGTAGAAGAAGCATTTGAATAACTTTTTGTAAATTGAGAAATTGCATTGCCTTTTGTGGAACAGTCAGTTTTTGGAAATCTACAGCAATTAGCTCATTAGACCTCGTGTTCAATTACTCAGGTCTTTGTCAGTGATTTCGATGTCAAGTGGATATTAGTACATATCTGGAATAAAATCAAATAAATGCAATTGGATTGGATAAAATCCGATTATCGCAGTGAATGACGATGAGTACGACCAACTGCTCAAAGACCGAGTCAATGAAGAATAAACCATATCGAAAACAATATGACAAACCTATTCCGCATATACAGTGGTTATACTTAAAAGTATAACCACTTAGTGCCTTCTGCTATAGAATTCAGACAAATGGGTGGCAAAAATGGAATTTCGAGGTGGTGTCATCGCCAGGGAGAATTATCGTCTATATAGCGTGTTTTAAACATGACTACATCAACTGATGCAAATACCTATCCCAAATACCTATCCCCAAAAGTACATCGTTTGGTGGGCCCATGATACTTCAAATGTTCCGTACTCCGGTGATGTCCATGTAAAAACACTCAAAACAAACCTACCGTATCGATGAAAAACATATGCTTTTTGTGAAAGACCAAATGATCAGTTTGACAATCGACAACGACTTCATTCAATCGCAGAAATATTTCTATATTAAATGAACAAATACATTAATTTTTGTCAATCCTTCAATCGATGATCACTTTCCACGTTCTGACTTGAAACTAAGTCATTGAACAAGAGGTCTATTGTCAAGGGAGATGTGTTAGTGGTGTTAACCGGATATACTACTAACTTAATATTGTTAATATATGCCTTCTCGCTTTATCCGGCTGAAAGAGCTCACTCGGGGGGGGGTGGTTTTTGATTTTTCTGAAAAGTCGCGCACGGGTGTTTCAACCGGAACGCGGGTCCCCTCATGCGGACATTCCTTCTTTCCAAGTGCGCGTGCCTGGGTTGAATCCGCCGGAAAGTATAGCGGATGCCCGGAATCGAACCGGGGACCTTCGGGTTTTACAAGACAGACGCTCTAACCACTGAGCTAATTGGGAACTTTTCTATTGACCTCGCTTACAGCATTCAACCAGAAACGTACCCGTCTTACTTGACCCCATGTCGATCGACCACCCCCTTTCCACCGACGCCACACCTCGCTTGCTTCGCGCGCCCACTGATGTAGCTTCTGGTGACCTAATCCAAGGCCCC